TAATACAAAATAAAGAAATATTTTTTAGAACAAACAATCTCTTTTTTTGTTATTCTCCTTAACACTCTTCTTTTAATTATATATACTTGTTCATTTTCTTTATTTTTTTTCATTCACTCATCATTCAACATATGGCCAAGTTAGATCAAAGTGAGATTGCCCAATATGTGTTGCATAAGGTCGGACCATGTGCATTTTGCACTTGGTTGTGCTAGGTCGGGCTTATCTAAATTGGACCAGACTTATCTATGCTAACTCGAGGCATGTTGAGGTAGAACGAGATGGATCAAATCAAATCTTAATTGAGTTTATCCAAAGAGATGTCAATCAAAGTTGAGCAAAAAATATCTTGAGATTGAGTAAAAGAGAGTGTATAAAGAAAAAAGATATAATTTAAGAAATAAAAAAATATAAGAAATCTCAAATTCATATTTTTAGGTTAAATTTAAAATTATCTAATTTAATAATCAAATTAGTATTAAAAAGTTCGAGAACTTTAATTTCTTCCAATTTCATAAAAGATATAAATTTAAGAAAAGAGGAAATATGAACAATTTCAAATTCTTACTTTTAAATAAAATTTAAAATATCTAATTTTAAGCAATCAAATTAGTATAAAAGATTCCAAGAATGTTTTCCAAATTTCATTTCTAAACAACATATTTTGTAATAAATTATTTCAAATTTTCTATAAAAATAAATTATCTCAACAAATTCCACATCCAAATACAAGTTGGCTTGAGTAAAGCTTGACCAAATGTATGAATCAATCCAATAAAATATTTTTTGCTTATATTAGGTTAAGATCTACTTTTTTGTTGTTGTTAAATCTAATTTTACTCAACCCACCCTTAATAAAATAGAATTGAGCTAGGTTAATTAGGTTATATATTTTAAAAAAATTATGAATTTTTTTAATTTCAAAACACTTTTTTGTTATATTTTTTAAAAGTATTTCTTAAAAATCTATATCATTTAATATTTCAAATATATATTTAATTGGTATAATAATTGAATAAATTAAATAATAATTTTATTATTATTATTATTGTTATTATTAATATACTATTATTTAATAATTTTGGTGAGTGGATGGAGTTCGATTATATATAACTTATAAGAAAAATAATTATTAAAATAAGATAAAAACATAATAAAATAAATATTATTTAAAATTTATATAACAAATATGATATAAAAAAACTAATACCATATATTATATTTTTTATTAAAAAAATAATGTTAAAAAATTGATCTTAATTTTGTTACCAAAATTGTTTAATCTAAAAAAATTAATTTTTGTCAGTTCAGTTTTGTCTTAATTTAATTAAAATTCGGTATTTAAAATTAACTTATTGGTTTTTAAACTGATTCTTAATTAGATGGGCCGAACTAACCAATCTGATTTGATTTGAATTATAGAATTACCTGATCCAATAAATATTCTTAACCTATATAAAAAAAATATTATGTGCAACAAAATCTTGATTTTATATTTTATTTTATTTTATTAAAAAAAAAAGGCGAGAATTAGAAACAAGAAAAGTATATATATGTTTTATGACTAATTTATTTGTACATAGTTTAATCTGATCTTAACAAATCTCTCACAATTTGAATTTCATTGTGTGGGTCGTCATGAAATTAAATTTGGTTATGTTCATGAATTGATTATACACACAACATTAACACAAAGCACTTAAAAAAAAAAAACTTTATAAAGGAAGAATATGATTATCATAAGCTTAACTTATGATGATACCTTATCACTCTTTTATCTCTAAATAAATAGTAAAAAATAATAAATTATATAACTTTTTTTAACACAATATATATATATATATATATATATATATATATATATATATTGTTATTAATTATTAGTTATTATTCATTTATAAAAAAAAAAGTTAAAGAGAGAAGGGGTTGTAATTGATGGGAAAGGCATACACAAACCTTTTGTGGTTAATAGAAAACAAAATCCAATCTGATATTTATTTTTCGAACTATATGATATAAAATATTTGAATAAATTCTCTTTTAATAAAATATACAGCTCATGTTCACATGACACGCTTTTAATAACAGATATGACAAGAATGAAAGAAACTTATCTTGAAAGTGAGCCAAAGAAAATGTATATATCTTTGTTTTTGTTTAAAATGTACCATGAATTTATAATCTATTAAAAAAAATGAATAGATCTAGAATTAGATCTCCTAAGTAGAAAAACATTTTTAACAATTAAAAACAAAAATACATTATTCTAATATATATATATATATATATATATATAAATATTATCTTAGTTTAAATTAAATTAGACTCAATTTTTAAATATTATGTTCAAATGTCGTAAATTGGATGGGAAAATAAATTTAATTAATACCAATTCGATTTTCATGTAAAAATATGTTTTTAAAATAATACCTATCTATTTATTTTTTATCCAAATAACATATGTGTAAAAAATTATTTATTAAAACAGCATATCACTGTGTATGGAATGCACATTTGAAAGAAAAATAAAATCAGTTGCTTAAATTGATTTTTTTTCAACTTGTTAGTTTAATAAATAATATGGCAGAAGTGATTTGAGTAAATAATAAATACATAGATGCTATTTTAAAAATCTATAAAACTAATATTATCTATAAGTTTTTGTTATGATAATAGTTAATGGGATAAGGTTTGGAAGTAAATAAAAGAGAAAAGAGGGACAAATAAGAAGTGGAGAAAACATAGAGTTGAACAGAACCGTGTCTGGCCTTTTGCGATAAGCCCGGTCATTGTTCAAATGGGGAACAACACCAACATGAACTACAACTCTCCTTCTTCTTCTTCATCACCACTTTGAGTTTAACTCACCCTTGTGTTTTTCTTCTCTTTTTCTTTCTCTACAAACCACGCAATTCTCATACACAGGGTTTTCTTTTTCATTCTCTTTCAGTTTATCACACACCAACCAACCAGCCCTAGAACACTCTTCTGCTCCTCTACTCTCTTTCAACAACTCACTCTTTCTTTCTGTAAAGAGAGAAAATAAACTGTAAGTGTCAACAAAACTCCAAATTCAGCTTTGAAGATAAGCTAGCATTCTTTGGTAGTGGATTTGAGCTCTTGTTTTAATCTTCCAAAGATTGAGAATCTAAGAGAGAGAGATTAACAAAATGGAAAAAGAAAACTGAAGTTTTTTTTTTTGTTTGTTTCCTCCTTTTAAGGTGCTCTTGAGAGTTGAGACATAAGGAAAGACCATTTGGGAAATTCAGCAAACTCCTGAAATCAGTCAGCAAAATAAGGTCTAATCTCATATTTTGTCTTTAATTCTCTTCCCATCCTATGAACTCACTTTGATCTCTTTGAATTTTGTTAATACTGTTCTTTTGTTTATTTCATGTATGATTTTTTTTTTTTTTACCAAATAAGAAGTATTGATCTGAAGAAAAAATATTGTCTTTTAAATGAACTAATTAATTTTAGGTTCGGATTTCTGGATTTTTAGTTTGTTTGAATAATGAAGGAACTCAATGAGAACAGATCTGTAAGCTTAACACCTGGGTTTATTTTCTTTCTTTTTTGTCTTTGATTTTAGCCCTTAACACCTGTCAAGGAATCTCACCCAACTTTGTTCAAAACCTCTATTTTTAATATTTTTTTTTATTTAATTAAGACTATTGAGCATTTCAGTAATAGTGGTTTTTATTATAATGAACCTTGCAGCCCCTGCAAATAAACTAAGGGTTTATTTGGAGCCACAGTATCATTCTTGAAATTAAAGCTTCCAAATTATTTCACAGCCAATTTGGCGCCAAATGTTGACCTTTCTACATGACTTTGCAACCACGTTGATGGAAGCGACAGTTGTCTAGAGCCTCCCTCATCCACCTTTTTCACCTTTCTTTCTTTTATCTTCATCCTCTGGTACGTAGCTACAACCCCTCTATGCCCCTTTGAGATTTCTCAGAAACTAAGCTTCTTCTACATATGTTGTCTTGCAATTTTTCTTGCTCTCCCTGTTGCGATTTAATATGCTGTTATTCAGAACTACACTAAATAAACTGATGTGTATCTTCAGCAACAAAATTATCTGTCTTGAAGTTTTACCCAATACACATAAAAGAAAGAGAGTTAAAATGAAGAATTACCTTAACATTAGCCTTTAAGGACTAATTTGTAAGTATCTATGTTTTTTATTAAAAAATAACAGTATTTATTACGTACAAGTATAAAATGTAATAAATGCCTCTTAGAATGCTTTAACATTTTCCAGAAACAAAAATCTTTGTTTTCTTTAGTTAGTAACACTTGTTATTAATGACAGTTTGTACAGAGGGGCACACCTCAAATGTACCAACTGTTACTAATCTAGCTCTAAAGCATTTGGATTCAAGCTTTTCTCAAAGCCTTGAGCTTTTCATAAAAGTATATTGGATTTATCGTGCTATGTGATATATCCCAGCTATGCTAAACAAACACAGTCAGATCTTATCTGCTATGTACTTACTACTTAGTGAATCTGAGAAGTGTACGAACTATTTGAATTGTTTTACTTAATTTTTTTTTGGGTTTGAGTGATAATTAATACAAAATTGTTTGGTTGTTTATGGTAGCTGGGTGTGATTTTGCAGGAAGAAAGTGTGAGGGGTGTCTGAGACCTAGTTCAGTCTTTTGCTTTTGAAAGGCGTTCTGCAACTGCAGAAAGCTAAACAAAGGCATCCTGATTTGGACCGCGATATATCATAGCGTGGAAAAGGCCTTTTTATCACTACACAGCCAAAGCAGTCTGTGAATTATCATCATCAATGCAAAGGACACAATAGCCAACCCCACACCTGCACTCCTCTTCACTCTTTCTCTCTCTCTCTCTCTCTCTCTCTCTCTCTCTCTTTTTCTCCTTCTCTTTCTCTTTCTCTCTCTTTACAAATAACACAAAGAGAAAGGCAAAAGCGAGTTTGGACTCGGTTGTTCACCTTCTGATCTGAACAAGGCATGATTGTGGTATGGAGGAGGATGAGATTCAAGCACAGGCGTGTAAGTTCCCTAGAGTTGGTAACGGAAGGAACGAGGACATTGGAGAGTTGAGAAGAAGAGGCAGTGATGGAGAGAGCACGAACAGGTTCCACAGCTGGCACCACTCTTCGAGGATCATTAGGGTGTCTCGAGCATCTGGTGGGAAAGACAGGCACAGCAAGGTGATGACTTCAAAAGGGTTGAGAGACAGAAGGGTTAGGCTTTCTGTGACCACGGCCATTCAGTTCTATGACCTTCAAGATCGCTTGGGTTATGACCAACCCAGCAAAGCCGTTGAGTGGCTTATCAAATCGGCTGCTGATGCCATTTCTGAGCTACCTTCTTTGAACACTTTCCCTGACACCCCCAAAAGCGATGACCAGAGGGCAAGTGCTGATGCTGCTGGGGTACATGACGAAAATGAGAATGAGCACGGCAATGGTACCTTTCATCAGCAGAACGACAAAAACAACCATAACCAGAGCCAGAACATGTCTTTGTCCAAGTCTGCTTGTAGCAGCACTTCTGAGACAAGCAAGGGCTCTGGCTTGTCCCTCTCCAGGTCTGACATCCGTGTGAAGGCCAGGGAGAGGGCAAGGGAGAGAACAGCCAAGGAGAAAGAAAAGGAAAAAGAGAAAGAAAACAATGAGTCTCCTCACAATGTTCCTCCTCCTCATCATCACAACCACCACAATGTTAACCCCATTTCACAAACCGCATCTTTCACTGAGCTTCTCACCGGTGGGATTCGCAATGCGGTCCCCACAACGGCCAGTCCCAAAGGGTGTGATGAGCCTAACATGATGTTCGAAAAAACTGGTAGACAGCAATGGTGTTCATCAGCTCCTATGGACTACTTTCTGAGGCCTTCCTCTTCTAAATCAATCCACCATCATCAATATTCTTCTTCCACTGGATTTTCATTGGCACAAATCCAACTGGGACATTCCCTTCCGGAGGCCATGAATAATAATGTCTCAGCCGCATTCAACGTTAGTGGTGAAAACCACCACCACTCATCAGATCCTCAGCTGCAGCAGCACTTCTCGTTCATTCCGGATCATCACCTAATGTCTGTGGTTACTTCTTCTTCCACTTCTCATCAGCCCAGCGGGAACGACTACAATCTCAACTTCACCATGTCTTCGGGCCTCGCTGGTTACAATAGGGGGACCCTTCAGTCCAATTCTCCGTCTCTGCTGCCTCACCTGCAGAGGTTTTCGCCGCCTATAGACGGATCCACTGTACCCTTCTTCATTGGAGCAGCTCCACCTGCTCCACCTGCTCCTGCCATGGAGAACAGCAACAACAACCATCACCACCATCAGTTCTCTTCTGTTTTCGATGGCAGCCGCTTGCAACTTTACTATGCAGACGGAGGCCGCCATTCTGACCAGAAGGGGAAAACTAAGAACTGAATTTTGGTTTGCCATCTTCATCTCCTGGTAAGGCAACTAAACAAGCTTCATCTTTTCTTTTTTTTATTAGAGATTTGCTATGATATCCAGTTTTCTCGCGTATCTTTGGCCGTGTCTCCAAATTACACTATTTTTTTAAAATGTTAATTACATTTTTAATAAAAATATGGTAAGGTAATAATTGAGAGAAACCAAATTCAGACAAGAGATGGACAAAACAAAATTACAGGAAACAAGCTAAATTTTGAGTTGATCAAGGTTAGGCCTGTTGTTGATAGAGAAAGAGTCGTAAACTTTAAAGATATGACACAACTTACTTAATTATCAACTAAAGCTTATCTGGAGCTCCTGAGATTTCACCATTTCACTGGTTTTATGGAGGTAGTCCCAAAATCCAAACTTGAAGAATAATTCATAGTAATACTGTATAAATCTATCTTAGTAATAAAAAATATGTTTGAAAAACTAGTTAGATAGTAATATGTAACATGCTGTTATCATTTTTCTAAGGTCTCGAAATGCGTACATTTTTTTGTGGGATTGTTGTTCTTGATGTCTGATACATTACACTCCACTTTGGTTGTTTGATGTGGAACCCATTGATTTTCTTAGCCAATGAGATGCTCGGTTTGGTAAACCTAGGTGGGATATTAGGTGACATTGAATAGTATATTTGATGTGTGCAATATACCATGAGCGGCTTGACCTGTAGCATGGGTAATGGTGAACAAGTTGGCCATTGGGCATAATTTTATGGTTTTGCTATCTGTTGTGTTGTCTCTTTTGTGGATTCCTACATGGGTTGCCGTGAATAGGGTATCGGCTGGTTGTCTCCATGTTTGTGCTCTCATTGGTTCCCTCCTCCATAGCATGTCAGGTGTAAGCTTTTTGTGTGTGTGGCATAAACCATGTGTGTCACTGATGAGTGGGAGCAATGTTAAATGCTTTGGCCCAAAATCAAATGGCTTTACAATCCCAATTAATTGCTCATGCTGTGCACCCACATGACACCACCCTCATTGGCTCATTCTCAGGTTCTGCAAAGAAAAAAATAAAATAGAATAAAATACCAGTATGTGGCTAGGTTAGGTTAGAAGCTAATATTTCATTTTCACCGTCATGCGTTGAATTTTTCTTTCATGTGTTGAAAGGTCCATGCACGTAGTCAGAAACTTCACTGCTGAAACTCACTGTATGCAATTTTTTTATTATATTTAGGAGTAATAATAAGTTTGAATTTATGACCTGATTCAGAAAAAAAAAGCATCCGAGTTACTTTACACACACACAACAATATATATTATGGAATAAAGATTGTTTGATAATTCGTTTTCACACAAACAACCAAACTATAATAATTTATTTTTACTTTTAATTTTAGATTAATATATTATGTATTACTATTATTATATAAAATATGGTTGTTTATGGATTGTGAATATATTATTGCTCTATTAGACATGAAAAAATTTTAAGAATAATTTTAGGCCTTCCTCTTAACATCTCTTAATACTTTTCTAATTGGAAGAAAATATGTTTAAATATAAATTATAAACAAGATTTTCTATAGTGGTTGATTTTATTGGAAGATTAGGACAATCGTGTTTCTAAAATTTTATAACTTACATTAATTTTGATTAAATCCTAATTATTTTAAAAAATTTGTAATTTATATTAGTATTTATAATTTTATCCTTCTTAAATTTAATGATTATTAAATATATATATATATATATATATATATTTACAAATTTAACATCTTATTTTTTTATATTCTTTTATATTTTTATATTTATTTATTATTTAATAATAATATATTATTTTACTCCCACAAAATTAATGATCAATATCTACTGATAACTCTGTACACAAACCGAAATTAACAACATTATGATTTTTAATAAAATTTATTGGTAATAAAATGTGTATTTAAAAAATATATATTATTAAAAAATTTCTACTAAATATATTTATCTAAAAGTATATTGTTAACATTTTTTTTAAGAGCGTGTTGTTAGTATTTTTCTGTTAGAGATATATTTTTCAAATATTTTTTATATGGATTAATTAATTTTTTTAAAACTTGAATTTTTTAACATTACTCAAATTTTAAATACTTAGAAGTGATGAAATAATTAGTCCATTAAAGTCGATGACAATTTATAATTTTGTTTCCCTTGTCTTTTTAAGCTTCATGTTTTAATAAGAAGAAATAAAAATTAAGAAAGGAAATTTTGTTCTTAACATTTCTTGGTTACTTTTTTTTTTCAGTACTTTTATTGATTGCTTTAATTCTCACCAATCTTATGGCGAGCAAAGTGGGTGCTTCAATTTTAAATAAGGCTTTCAGAATGTGCATTCAAATATAATATTAAATATAAAAATTTAAGATTTAAATGAAAAAAATATTAAGTATTATTTTTTTTAAAAGAATCAAGATATATTTTTCTTTTAGAATTAAATTTGTGATTCCACTTAAAGTACGAGTCTAACGTTTAAAAATATATTAGAGTTCAAATAGAGTCAAAGCCATTTTAATAAAATATTATTATTATTTTAATTTTTAAATATAATAATTCAATATATATAAAGTATAATATTAATAAAAGAATTGTATATATAGAATTAAAATTTAAAATTCATTTTAAAATGTCATAAGACATAATACGTAATAAAATTAAATTATATATAAGAAATTACTAAATCTAATATATCATATTTAAACTTAATAATAATAAATAAATTTTATTAAGAACAATAAATCTCTTAAAAATAAAATAAAAAATGCCACAGATTTTTCACTCATGATTGATTTGACCGGTTTAATCCGAATCAATTAAAATTTCATTTTTCAAAAACTTTGGAAGGGATATTAAACTAGTTTGGATTCAACTAATGTTATATACATATATATATATATATATATATATATATATATATATATATAGACTCTTAATTATATATAATTAAAATATAGAATATTTATTAAGGATATTTTTAAAGGGAGATTTTAATTAGAGTTGTTTAAGAATAAAATTAAATATTTTATTATGAATTTCATAATTAAATTATTTAAATATGATTAGAATTGTTTATCTAAACAATTTTCCAATTTTAAACAACTTTCTCTATTTCTAAGTAACTTAGATGTGAAATTCTCAATAAAATATTTATTTTTATTGTTAAGCAATTTTTGATAATATCTGTGCTAACCAATTTAAATATATAAGATGTGGGGACAAAATTATCTTCCCCTTCATGAAATTCTGTCACATCTTCCCAATTTGAGCTGATTTATGTTGGACCTTGTTCGGACACTCTTGCTATGGTTTTTGCAAGAATTCATGTTTAGAGGAAAGTCTAATAATATAGTAAAAAACTACAAGGGAGACTAAAATACTTATTCTTTGGATCCTACTTGCTTTGTGAATTGTGATGCTATGTATGTTGGCTATTTACCTGCAGGTCTAGCTTTTTAGAAAGTAAATTAGTTAAGTATTAAATTGAACAAGTGAAGAGACAGTGATTCACATGTGATTACATAATTGGATTAGTGTTACTAAAATGAATTGTTTTGTTCCTTGGTGTCCTAGGTTTGTAGGGCTTGAAAGATAGAGTGAGTACTGGGAGCAAGCTGTGTGTGTCCCAAAGCTTGCCTTTGCCAAAACGGATGAGACAACATTGCCATCCAGTGCTTGAATCATCTGAAGCCATTCAATTGCGTTCAGTGTTTGAAGATTTATATATAAATATCGATCTATGCGTGTAAGATCCTTGTGTGTTTTTGGAGAAATGTAAAAGCTACACGATTCAAGATATTCTTATGCTTTCTTTAATTATGTTGATGTTGTCTATACTATTTATTTATAGAGAAAAAAGCTATTCACCAGCACGCTAAATCTCTCACCAAACAATGCCTTAATATTTTGCTTTTATTTTATTTACGTAACCTTTTAAACCAAATATATTATGTAACCCACAAAACAAAATATATTGACTTTATAAGTTTAATAATAGTCGTATCAATGAGAGTTTATATTTGATACTGTCATTAAAATAGTTAAAAAAAAACCCTAACCCTACATAAGAACCCATTTAAAGTATTTGTTTCTTCGGTAGGAAAAAAAAACACATAATCTGGAGTTGTGAAATGAGTAACAAAAGATTGTATTAATGTACGTTTCTGTGAACTATTCTTAATTAGTTTTCAATATAATACAGATAGTTTCGGGGGATTTATGTCGTCTATTATCTATAGGTTTAGTTTCTGATATGTAAAAACTTAAAAAGAAATAATAATAAAAAATCTGTAAAACTAAAATTCGATGTAAAATAATAAATAATTTCCTAATTTTTACTTTCACTGATTGATATTTATGTTTATTTGTAATAACAAAAGATCCTATATAATTTTTCTATATTTATATCTCAGATAATTATATTTAATTATTTTTTTATTTTTATATCTATTTGTAATAACAAAAGATTTTATATAATTTTTCTATATTTATATCTTAATTAATTATATTTAATTCATCCAGATCAATAGAAACATGATTATAAAAAAATAAATACATAAACTTAAAACTATAAAATGATTCATGAAATTAGAAAAATAACTTTTGTAATTTATAAAAAAATTAAAAATAACATATATTATAAATTTCATTTATAAGAATATAATAGAAAAGAGAAAGAAGAAAAAAAAGCTTTATTAAAAAACTAAGAATACAAGAAATAGAATCCAAACCAAAAAACTTAAAAATGGCCAAGAATATCTCAAATCAAAATTGTTTATTGAGATACTTAAATAAAATACTAATTATTAGAAGTAATTTTTCATTGAAATTTTTTTTATATAACATGATAAATGAGGTTAGAGAATATAGATAAGATAAAAGAATGGAAGAGAGAATGAGATTTTTAAAAAATTTAAGATGAGAAAAAACTTAAATGAGTTGCTCTCATTGGATATACTTTCTAAGAATTGTATATAAGAC